GAAGGGTAGGAGAAAAGTTAGAAACATTAATCTGGAGAGTTACAACCAGATACTAGAGGAAAATAAAAATTTGGTTTTAGTCTAGATTTCAGCTAAATTATAAAATCTCATTTAAAAAGCCAAAATGGGCTGGAATCTCATTACAAGTGTACTATAGGATTTTTTTTTTTTTTTGACACGTGGCTTTTCTCTCTTAAGTCCCTCATTGCTACCAAAGATAACTTATAGTAAGACTAATTTATTTGCAAAATAAATGTTAGTCTTATTATACTTGGCCTGATTATTTGCATAAAGTGCAGCAAGAACAGTAATTGGCATATAGATTATTTGTAAGTTAGCTTTACAAAAACGCTTTCATAAGGACTTTTGGATTGGACTTTGAAAAATTCTAAAGACTTAGGAACCAAACCAAAGACTGTGTCTGTAATATCTGTGTGAATTGGGTGAATTCTTCTTGAATTTCCTGGGCCTCTCACATTCTTTACTTACCACAAGGTCAGAAACCATTTAAAGAAACTATATAGACAAAATACCAGGTTCAGTTTTTTCCAAGTCTACTGGCTTTATACAGTCAAGCTGAACACCTCAAAGCAGTCTGGTTACACTTGAAAATATGACATTCCAGTCAAAGCTTTGGTAAAATACAGTCTTTCCATTTGTGATTTGTAATAAAAAAAAACAAAAAAACAAACAAAAAAAACTTTATTGAACACATACAAATATGTATACTGCCATAAAATAAGAATACTCCCAAACAATACATAAATTCTGGAGGGATTAGGTAGTGAAAAAGGTAAACATTTCAATTTTACTCACAAAAGTATGATTCATCTAATTCCTGTAAGCTACAAATTTAATAAAGGAAAAAAAAAAGTTTTCTTAACTCTGAAAAGCAAAACATTAAAAAATGAGCAATATTTTAAAGAAACAAAAAATTACAAAAGTCATTTCATTACTTCATCAGTTCACTCTCATGTATTTAATTCTTGTTATGGCTTGATGCTGGGTTGGTAATTTTGTGAGTCCAGTTTTCTAATTGGAGTTTTCAAAATTCTTACCTAGTCCAATTGTATAATATTAAAGTTGTCAGAAACCTGTATTTCATGGTACTGATTGTACTCTTTTTCATAAAGCTCCTTGAAGACACAATACTTTAGGATTTGCAAAGAGCTTTTAGGAAAAAAAAGGAATTTACTGCAGACAAAAGGCTTAAAATGGCCGTGGTTAACGATGTAATTGACAAATATCTTTAGTTATTTTCTGTGGCCTACAATTTAATATATCAGATTTTTTGAGAATCTCATACAATTTTGGAACACATTTATACAAATATAATGCAAAGAAGATTAAACATTATTTCTTTTTGGACAGTGCTTCCCATATAATTTAACATATCAAATAAATCTGTTTATTATCTCTCTTTCAGATAGCTCAGGGGCCGTCTGTAACATTTCAAAGTAAATTTGAGGTCAAAAAGATTTAATTTTAATTTGTGAAATTTGATTTTTAGAAGCCTATAAAATGTGTCAAAGTTTTAAAATATATTTGACCAAAATAGTATCACAAATCACTGTAAAATAACAGTCATCCATTTAGTCAAAGTGATAATTAAAAGGCTTTGGAAAGCTAAAATCTTCATTAAGACAAGAGACTCAATTTCCAAATGATCAAAAGACCTAATAAAGTCCGCATCAGACATACAGCCGCTGTTTCTTTTTCTCTCTCTCCATTGTTTTTTTCTGTTTACTTAAAGGGTGAACCAACATCTTTTGCTATTTCTTTTTAATAATATATAACATTATTGTTAAAAATCAAATTCTAGGTTTTTGTTAGTGTATTTTTGATATTAAAGCTCAACTTAAAAACCCTTATAATAAAACAATCCCATTGCTAGGTATATATCCCCCTAAGAAAAGGAAATTAGCATGTCAAAGAAATATCTGCCATCCCATGTTTATTGCAGTACTGCTCACAAAGCCAAGATTTAGAAACCATTTAAGTGTGCATTAACAGATGAATGAAGATTTAATGTTAATGGATATTTAATCACACATTATTTTGAAATTCCCTTTCCCTACCTTTCTATAGCCATTTCCCCAACTTTTCAAGGTAAAAATCTATGTCATTTTTTTTCTTCACTTAGAAACAAAGCTTTTTTTTTTTTCAACAAACACACATCTTCATGCCTTTATAATTTACCTCGCCAAAAGCATATCTTGCTTCTCTCCTATACTTTGCATATACATAAAATTATTTCTCTTATTTTAATATTCTCAATTACATATAATAATTTAAATTTTGACTGTGATAGCTCTAATTTCTAGTGAATACCTAGAAAGTAATTTTGAGCTATTTTATATCAGTATTGTCAAATGAAAAACATTTCATAATTTTTTACAAAAATGGTTTTTCTATTTTTTGTGAATTAACAGATCTAAGGTTAGCTTTATGATATAAAAAGATGTCAAAGTATACAAACAAACATGTTTAATAATGTTTTAGTAGTTTAACTTATAAACGACTCCTACATTTATGATTGCTTCTTAATTTAACGTAACATGCTTTAATATTTTAAATTACTGAAAAGGATTTTGAAACTATGACACAGGTACCCTCCCTAATATTTTTTCTAGTCATCTTGGGTTTCAGGTACCCACGTGGCATACAGGATGGCTGTGAAAGGCAGGGCCCATCTGGGTTCTGAACTCACACACCAGGTGTGGAGCTGAGAACAAAGGACAGAGCTGTGAAGATGGCAGCTGCTGGCCCAGGTGCTATAGACGCACCTCACCATGGCCACCTGTCCAGACCTCAGAATTCAGAGGCTCAAAAACAAAGACATAAGCTCACAGCAAGATGTGTGCAAGGCTTCAGGGAAGCCCAGCAGCCAGCCCTTACAGCTTCAGTTTATAGAATAATCAAGCAGATATCAAAAACATTACAAAAACAACAGTTTTATGGTATAAAGACTGCTAACACAGGAAGCCAAAATCTGATCAATGCAAAAATAAATTATTTATCTTACTGACAATTCTGAAGACATTTTATTTTATCAACAATTCTAAAATTAGCTGTTTTTACCAAATATTGTCTCAAGTTACATAGAAATATCACGTATACTTAATATACATAGACACGTAGCCATATAGATACACAGACAAAAGCAGATCTTCTAGCTTTGGATAAGATTCTTTAATTGCCAGCTTCCAAACAGTTTTTCTTTCCCTTGTTTAGACCATAAATATTCTGATTACTTGTTTTATTGCTCTAAGTGGTTGTTAACTAGGCAGCCGTATGTTTGTACTTCTAAAGGGATGATGACTCTTAGGTGAAACAAAGTAGAAATTTATATCTCAAAGACACAGAACTTAGATCTGAATATCATTTTTTTTTCTTTGCCAAGACAATGAAGGGCATAGGTAAAGGCCTAGTTAAAGCATGATAGGCAGGAAAGGTATCCTAAACAAAGGTAAGATAGATTTTTAATGTAAATATTTAAGTTAATGCCTTTCTCATTGTAAAAGTTTCTGGTGATTTAGGTCTAATGAGGAAGATGTCTTTTCAAATAAAGGTTTTCTTTATAGATGTAAATTTCTTTCACAAAGAGTTTAAATACAGCCAAATGTCAGAAAGTTGTACCTTGGGGACCAATTTAGTTGGTAGGTGACTTTAATATAGATTCTGTGTTTTAATTAGATATGCAATTCAAGGTGGAGCACATTAATGAATAGGGCTAAACCAACTCCTGACCCTTAGGGCTCTGTGAGGTGAACAGGAGACCCAAGAAATGGCCAGTGGCACCTTGATTGTGTTCCTCAAGAGATCTCACAGTCACTAGAAGTCTCTTTTAGGTCCCTTTATGTGATAACCAGAACTCTCATATTGGTTCTCAGTAATTCTTATCCATTGACCACGAAATGGAGAACATAGGGGCCACTTTTAGAACAAGAGAAATGAGGATGTAGATGCAGATACAAAGCATTTTTACCAAAAATAATTGGACTATTGGGATTTAAAAATATAATTGATCTACTTTGATATATGCAATTGTTGTTTTTTACCTTAAATTTGGAAGCACTAATCTAGTAGTTCTATATCACATTTTAAACTTTTCTGTCTCTATAGTTCTGTAAACCTGGAGTTTAAAGATTGATTTATAAAAAAAAACTTTTATTTTAGACTTCTAAATGATCAGTGTGGCTGTCTGCATGCATTCTGGGTATCTATTTTGAATGATAGCTATGCTTTGATCTAGATGATCAGTTTCATTGTCCTAGTTACCATCTTATTTTGATTATCTTCTTTTCAAAGTACTGTCTATTATTAAAATAATGACGTGATTATTTTGTTGCAGGAGTACTTTATAACATTCTAATATCTAGTAAACCAGATTTATTTTTACATGTTAGGCAGTGATAGTATGTGATTAGAATTAAATATTAAAATACAAATTAAGAAGAATGTTAATTTATTTTATTCTGAGAGCTTATTAATTCAACAAGATGAATTTTTGTCTATTTTGAATATCTGATGTCAGCAATAGCATGTTCATAGCATACCTCATTAAGTAAAGTAATTTAACAAAAAACTGTGTCCAAATGAATGCTAATAACTTATAAAAGCACAAATAAAATTGAATTTGTGTGAAGAAGTATTTGGCTTATGTCTAGACACTAGGTAATTAATTACTCCACATTCCCTGGAAATAATTAGAGAATTTCATCAAGCTTTACTTAACCTTTGGATTTCAAGAATACTATATAACATTAAATTTTTTTAAAGCAATAAGTTCTTTTTTCCCCAAATTGCTATTTTTCCAAGAAAATTTGCACTATTTTAGAATAATTTGCCATTTATTTCTTTATTCTTTCCATCTTTCCACTTTTTCCACATTGATACAAATTTTTTAAATTTAGGAATTTGAACTTCAACAGGAAGCCAAAATTATAAGCAATTTTTTTTTTATTCTTACTAGTCTTGAAGAAGCAAACAGCCATCAGTGAACTGAGTATAGAGGGGATCCCATGAGAAGGAATTTATGTATTTTTTACTACCTGAAAAAAGCTTCACCATAGAGCTAGTAAGAAGCTTTGACCTCAGTTATACAGCCAGAAGAATATAATTCATTACAGCCTGAATGAGTTTGGAAGTAGGCTTTTTTCCCCAGCAACATTTTGATTGTAGCTTGTGAGAACAGAACTTGGGCAGAAGATCTAGCTAAGGTCTACACTTTTGACCTACAGGAACTTTAAGATAATAAATGTGCATTAAGCTGCTAAGTTTGTGATAATTTATTACACAGAAATAAAAACTAATGTAGCCTCGTAAACGTCTTTAAACCTTACTGCTTACAAAGATGTTCACATCTCTCTATTATGGGCTTCCCCCATCTGTAAGGATACTATGAAGTTCTCCCCTCTGTAAGGCAACAGACACCCCTCCAGTACTTGCCTCACCTCCCCTTTCTGGGTGTTGGGTCAAAAACTAGCATTAAATCTCAGTATAACCTGGCTAGAAACATGCTGATCCTGACAATGGAGGAAAGAGATTATACCCAAAGGAACTGCAAAATTTCCTTAACATGTACCAGATGGATTCAAGAGAGTGCTGATAAGATTGGATTTTGAGGTTGCTTGATCAAGTAAGCCAAATGTAAGTCTAACTATGCAAAGGTGTCTTCATTGACTGGGGTGTCTTTTATTGAAACAAAAGATTTAACACTACAGCAAGGACCATAGAGGATAAGACAAATTCATTGTTAGAGTGGCAGTTAGAAGCCTGGAGAAAGTGATGGTCCATGCCAAACAAAGTAGAAATGCCTCAGTTTCCCTGGCAGGCAATAGAGGATGTGGTTAAAAAAAAAAAAAAAAAAGGTAGGGAAGTGAGGATGCTTGAATGGCTGTATTATGTAAGCCCAGAAGACCAAATCAGAGGATTATATTGCATGGAAGAGCCCACAATATACACCATTCATTAAGTTCAAGAATGAGAATATGATAGGGGCATCTGCATCACCAAGAACGTCAGTGGGAGCTCTCCTCTGCAAGGCCTGATAGTGGGAAAAGTGTTCGCAGAGCTGGCTTTGTGAGTAGCAAAGGGAATAATGGGACCTAAAGAAATAGAGCCACTTTGGAGATGTTTGATTGGCTGAAGCTGGGGGATCACAGTTACTGTAATGACTGGCAGGATTGGAAGGGCAGCCATGAGGACTTGACTTGCAAGAAGTTAAGGGGATGGTTATGGCATCTCTAGGATAAAATTAGACAACTGAGGGAGCTCGTTCATATTTACAAATAGAAGAAGGCAAAAATGAAGGAACATGAGTCTAAAGGCAGTTTCCCTTGTTAAAAGTCATAATCCCTTGCTGAATTCCTGGATCTGAACAAATTTTCTGGTATAACGCCCATTGAATGAGAGATGTGGGTTCCAGGAGGAAGGATGTTACAACACAGCAAGAATTGACTGTAAGGTTCCCCTTGTTCTGTGGCAAATCCTACAGTGTTGGAAATGTCAGTGGTGGATAATTATGCAGAGTGGAGTTTATAAGCTCTAGTGGGAAAATTATAACACAGGTATCCGGAGTTCTGGGGCAAGGCTGTGCCATCTGCAGCAGCAGAATATATGCCTCCTGAGAAACAACTCCTGCTGTGTTGCTGAGCCCTGATAGAGACATACTGTTGTCCATGGAGTAACAAGTGACCTTCCACTCAGTATTACTCATTATAAACTGGATTCTGTTGGACCTAGAAAGCATAAAGTTGAATGAGTCCATTAGTATTTCATTAATTTTAAGATGGAAATAATAGATCATGGATTAGGCTTGAGCAGAACCAGAGGGCAGGAGAAGGAAACATAAGGAGGTAACCCTTCGAGGGTTCATGTTACCCACCACAATTGCTTCAGTGCCTGTGCTCCAAATTGCACATATGGCCTGATAGCGGTTGTCCCCTATGACCAGCTGAAGAAGGGAAAATAGCCTGTCTAGCTTATGAACAGGTCAGTTTGATATATGGGTGTGAACTGAAAATTGGTGTGCGGAGACTCTGAGACATTCGAGATGGACTATGGTGCCCATGGAAGTGTGCCAAGCAGATATCCCCTTCAAAAGAATCTACTGCAAGAATAGTTGGCAAACAGCCTCTATTTGTTACATTTGTGGATGCATCATAGTGTTCATGTAAAGTTCATGCTCTTCCTGGGCTGCCCCTAGCCCAGGAAGAACCTGAGGACAGCTGAGCAACTAGAGCCAGGCAATTCCTGCCTGACACAGCACTTAGCTGATGGCCCATTTTTGCCTTGGGATTGTATTGTTCGCCCTACCCAAGCTCTCTTCTCTCCTTTCCAAGATGTCAGACTTGCATCAGAAACCGGAGGCTTTTCCTGCTCCTGCTCCTGTTTTTTATTCTCTGCAGGTATTTCTCCCAGTAAATCACTTCACATCTACTTCTGTCTTGAAATCTGCTTCTCACAGGATTCAAACTGACACATCAGATAATGCCTATGAAAGTTCTCACTGTGATTAAAACTAAGCACTCTAATATGTTGTAGAAATGGTTGATTTCTTAAGCAACTTTCTCATAACTCCTAACCATGGAACTGTGAATAATTTGCATGCATATAAATGTTGATTGTGTGAACAAATGGATATATTGCATTTATTAATTTGAAATAACAGAAATATTCATCTATATTTGCCAGATGTCCATAATCTATTACAGAAGTAGAGAGAAGCAAAATTCCAATGTAGTGTATTATAATTTGTCAAACAATATATTCCTTTTTTACTTATAGATATACTTTAAAGGAAGTCATATTTCTTCTGGAATCCACCCCGATCATTCAAAGATTGAATGATAAATAGCCTAAATAGAAATACATTTTTTATATAGTTTTTAATTGTGCCACTGTTGCAGAACAAAAGAAAAAGTAGTATTTTTAATTTGGATAAAATTCTCTTCAGCGGTAGACACATGTAGTTATTGTTGCAGGTACAGAGAGGAGGCTGGTTGCTATTCAGCTGTTTCTTAGCTGAAAACTGCAGTATTCGGTGACTGTTAATTAAAATGAGGACATGCCAAGTAGGGTAATTTACAGCCAAGTTTCTCCTGGTATGCAGTGCAGAAAATACAGGGAGCATTAATAATTTTGACCTCATTACTTTTGTATTTGTCTAACAAGAATGAAGTATTTAAGTCACTGCTGTGTTAACTTTGGATTTACATATTTTTAAAAATCACACTTTTTTTTTAAGAGATTGTTTTATCTGCTCATAAGAGATATATATGCTAGACATTTGGTTAAGAAAGGAGATGCAAAAACAGTTACTTCTATTCAAGATGAAGTCTGTATCAGGTTAAGAGTTGATTTCTTTAGAAAAATATGCTATGTTTGGTTTGCTTTTCCTATGCATAATGTCTTGTCAAGGACTCTGCCCTCAGCTGCAGCCTTTGCTGAGTAGCTATGAACAATGAATTACGTAGCAGTGGCCTTTCACTCTGTGGCTGAAGCCACATCTCTAGTCTTCATTTTTCTCTTATTTCGGTTTGTTTTTGGAGTTTCATCTGCCTGCTGGAGTTTCCACCTGGAAGAGCCAATAGTTACCTCAAATTCATTCTGTTGTGTAATGAAGAATTTGGCTGGTTTTTGTCTCTAGGCCTTGGTTGGAAGCCTTCAAACCCTTGGATTTCCCATGTCATAGGAGGGTTCCTTATTTATGGTTTATTAGCATAAACACCTGAGTTTACGCTAATGAGATGACTAATGTAGGGCCACTAGATAGTTTATGCTGATTAGATGAGTAAAGATTGGGGCTGGCCACGCCAGAAAGACCTATCATGTGATTACAGGGTTGAGGCTTTGAGCCATGTGATCTTGGCCTGATTTCTGGCTTGGGGGAAGGGGGAGACAGAATTTTGAGTTCAACTTTATGGCCAGTGAATCAAACAATCATGCCTATGTAATGAAGCCCCAATAAAAACTCAATGCAGTGAAGCTCAGTTCAGTTTTCTGGTTGGTGGTACACATTGATGTGCCAAATGGGTGATACATTCTAGGGACATGGGTGATTCATATTTGAGAGCCTCTCAGATCATCCCGTATGCATTTCTTTATTTGGCTGGTCCTGACTTTCATCCCTTCTAACAAAACTGTAATTCTGAATTTTTAGAAGCATTAATATAATCTATGGAACACTGTAAGTTGTTCCAGTGAATTTTCAAACCTGAGAGGTCAGTGAGAACTTCAAAAATTACAACCAGGTGGTCCCAAGTGTGGGTGGCCTGGGAACTCCAGACCCTGTGACTAGAATCTCAAGTGAGGGCAGTCCTGTGGGTTTTGTACCCTTAACCTTTGTAGTTTGACCTAACTTGGTTTGTTAGTGTCAGAACTGCATTGCATATTCTTTAAATCCTGAAGCATCATCCTTTCCCAGAGCCAACAAACTTGCTTGTTGAACTGTTTCTCTTCCCACATTATCAGGTCGAATTTCTTCTCCATAAACCTTGCCTTCAGTTCTTGTCCACTGCCACATGTATAATGTGTTTTGTTTGTTTGTTTGTTTGTTTTTTGCGTGGGCTGTTTCAATACTACTTAAACTGGCCTATCTTCATTGTAACCTATCCTGTATTTCCCAGTGAAGTTCATCTTCCTTACGCTCTCTTCAAACTCAAATATCTTTTTCAGAGGTGTCTAACTAGAACCCACTGCAGCATCTCTCAAGTAACAGGCACACCTGTAGGTACTGAATAAACGTCTTCCTGCTGTCCAAACTTCATGGCGATAGAGGACCCTGCAATTGTCTCCTACATATCTTTTCAACCTCACCCTGTCTTACGTCTATAAATGAATCCTGTGCTTCAAACCAATTACGTTACTCATAGCTTTGCTTACTCTTAAACACTATGGATCCATCCCCATTCCACTGACCAAACTGCATATCTAAAAGGCTCTCTTTCCCTTTGTACTAAGTTCCATCTATGCTGTGAGTCTTTTTAGATGTCTCTACTCCTTAGGGATAGCTCTCACTTCTGAATTTTTGTAGCACTTATTGTAGCATACTTCCATACTGTATGTGTTGTACATGGTTATCAGTTGGCTACTGGTCTATACTACATGGAATTTGTGTTATTATCTAATATTGCAGGCTCTTTTGTAAAACCATACCATGGACTTAGGAAAACAGGAAAATAGAAGTTTTTTGTGATCTCGAGGCATATGTATTAGGTATATAAGTTTTTCAGTTTTGCTATAGAGCTTCTCTTATTTTGTCTATACAATCAGTCAAGTCTGATCTGCAAAAACAATGAAGATAAGAAAAATATTTTACCTACTCATTCTTAATGTATTCTAATCCAATAATTTAAATGTCCTTGAAATTGTAGAGATAGCATTTCCATACTGTCCAGCTGATAGTCACAATGACAGAAAAATTCATTTGCTGATATTTATTTGCTGTTCATCAATAGGGCATGTGTGGTTTTTCACTGACTTGACAGTAAATAAAATTGACAGTAAGTAAAAATCCAAACTTTTCTCACTTGAATGTCCAGATAATAAAGGCTTACTTCTTTGGGCAATGCTGCACTTTTCAGTATAATAACGTGGCCCCTTCTCTTTCTCAGCAGACAAGGAATAATGTCCCAAACATCATTTAAGGAATGTAACATTTTCAGGCAGCTTTGCATCCATAACTTGGCATATCTTTTTACAGTACCATATGCCCATATATAGAGACTAAATATTAGTATTTTTTAATTTTCTTATTTTGTGTTAAAGAAAAGAAAAATAAAACTTCAGTCTCACTAATCAAAAAAGATACACAATTCAGCATTGATTTAATAGAAAGAGATATACTTTGTGCGGAAATATCCCTAGTTTGAGAAAACACAACTTTTTAAAGAAAGATAAAATCCTAGAAGTGACTGCAGGGAATTAACTAAGATTTTTGGACAAATGGGTTTTGCAGCATTAGGTCTATATTTGTTTTAAAGAGGTTTATATGTTCTGAAGCTGACTGATCAATAATAATACTGGAAAACTATAATGTTATAAAGCCGAATTTTAAAGTGTAGAACATCTAACCTGTGAATAGAGATGAATGTATTTGAAAATAAAGATGAAGTGAATAGCGAAAATTTACTTTTCCTCAAAGCTTTCTCTGATAAATTTCAAATTTCTTTATGAGTCCACATTTTTACTTACTGTCCATGTAAATACATTTTTACAGATCTTGCTTTGTGAAATATAATCTTGCAGTTGTTCTGTGTTCCTACACCTGCGTTAATGATTTCTCTCAAATAATGATGATTTCTTTCAACCATTTACAGATTTGTGGGTCAATATACATTTTAAAGTGCCCATCAGGAAATTTTTTAATTAATTTCTATGAACTCAAAGGGATAGCAAAACTATGTGCTGATATACTACTCTATAAAATGACATGGTGACTGAAAAGTTCAATTATTTTTACTTTCTTATTCTTGCCTCTTTAGTTAAGGTTTATATCAAGCTAATAAGAAATGACACTAGTAGAAAGAAATACAAAAAAAGGACATATTTTAAACACTTGTTTATTTCCCAGTTTTACAGATGTGTGATAAGGTCTGGTAACTGAAGGCTACAGTTGAATCAAAGTTGACTTCTGGAGTGTGCCAGTGAATATATTTTGTAGATAGAGCAAAAGCAAAGGTGAATGGCTGTTTTGTGGTGAAGGCCCCCAGCAGCAACCACTGAAGCTTTTCGTGTCTTCCATGGTGAACAGGGTTGTATTTGGAGGAAAGTATCTGTAACCAAACCAGACATACATGGGTTGAGAAAGGCTTCGTTGGAAATTTCTCAAATGCAATCAAGCATTGTGTTATGGCAACAGTGAGTTATATGCTTACAGAACAGAAATTCCCAAATGATGCCTGAAACAAGGAGTTACGAAATAGCTACCAACAAAGGGAGGTTTCTCAGGGGTCCTCAGATATTGAGCCAGAGAAGAGTGTCCTGGAAAAAGTGACGTGTATTGAGTAGGGGACAGATTTCATCACATTGCTAATTGAGGGGAGCCTAGGCTCCAAACTTGGGGGATATAAACCGTCCTAAAGATGACATTTTGGAGTTGGATGCATATTTTTAGCGCTGAGTTGAATAGTGAACTCTCCTATCAGGATTCTGCATACTCTGTCTGTCTTGTATTCTGTGGTTTTTTAGACTCTTCAGTAAGAGGCAGGATTGATTTGGAAACAATTGCTTTGTCTCAGCTTAGGATTCTCAAGTAGCACCTCTGACTTTCTTTGAAGAACATCTGACCAATTCCAAGGAAGTTAAATTTGATCCAAATTTTGGAAGTGGGGAGAAACATAAAGAAAGATAAAAGGGAAAGGCAGCTGTTTACCTAGAAGACACACATGATTCAGTTTTTGGCATCAGCTTCAGAAACACAATACTTATTCAGGACATGCCATCATTTTAAACAATTGTCTATGAGCACC